TCTTCTCATTCTTCTTCTTCTTCTTCTTAGATCTCAACATTTGTGCCACCAGACATTTTAATTCCTGACTAATGTTATATACTACTTATATAGACATAAGTAACACATAATGATAATCACTAAGAAACTGTATTGGTTAACTATTTAACATTCAAATTGATATATGTATTGAGTTTGATTCATCAAAGAGTAGTATAAACTTGTTCGTTAACAGTTCTTTTCTTTTGAAGAAATATAATCAACCAAGTTAGATCATTCAAAGAAAAAAGGATTTCGATTATTTTATCTATCTCAATAGTTACGATCATGAGTCAGTTGAGGGCTAGACCTTCATGGAAAACCTGGAAGCACTGGAAAGCCGTTTCGTCCTATTGTGGATTAGTTGAAGTTAGACATTAACACCGTTGGATGCCTGCCGGCTCAGTGGTTTAGTGGTTAAGTGCTCGCACGCGGAACCAGTAGGTCCCGGGTTTGAATCTCGCAGGGGGCGAGGTCGTGGATGTGCACTGTTGAGGAGTCCCACAGTAGTACGAGACGGCCGTTCAGCGCTTCCAGGTTTTCCATGATGGTCTAACTTCAACTGGCTTATGATCTTAACCATTGAAATTACTATAATACCCACAAAACCCATCTGATATTATTTTATCTATCAATATATGAGAGTACTGGATTTCAGTATAGAACAGTTGTTGGATTGTGGTTAGTAATGAGGTCATGGATCGGTGTTTTTACTTAAACCTATACACAGTAAAATGAAACTAATTATTAAATCATCATAATAAATGTTGCTACAGTGACTAGAAAAATATGTATACACTAAAGTGGAATATTATTTAAACGACTATGTAGGCCCTCAAAAGCCCTGGTACTGCCGACAGTGGGGAGAATCCGCTCTCCCTCGAAACGCTCTTACATGGTCACGCCTATACTGCCACTACCAAGGAAGTCCTATTCACTGTCTTCTCTCATTGATGGTTTTGTCTACTAAATTGAGAGGAAAAAAAAGTAAATGTACGGCGCTCTAACCGGGTTGGCGGATATGGAGGATACATCTAGGGGAGTTGGAAAACAGTTATTCCAAACCAATGGTGCACATGGGATTTAAGATTCTAAGGAAACAAATGACGTATAAGCCTGTTGTTGATCAGTGGCTACCATGGGGCTCTGCTGCCTTTTGGATTAGACGCTTAGGTCAAAGACTCGGGGAGTGGACCCCTAAGAAAACCATCTGCTTCGGTTTGGGCGCCCGGACTTTAGTTTTCATGAAGCAATTAGAACCCCGTCCCAAACATTTGGAGAAAAGTCATCTCTATTTACTATCCGTTACGAAAGAAGCAGGTGACTGATTGAAACATGCAGGGATTATGAACCGAGAATGCGAGAGGTTTAGAAATTGTCGTTGCACTATGTGTTCCACAAAAGCACACAAAGAAAATCATTGCAAAACCCGAAAACACCGTCAACTGAAAGTGTATTCTATAAATTCAAGCCTCGAGCAGGCAAAGTAACGGTAGCTCTTAACAAAACCGGTTCCCATAACCGTAGAAAGTATGTTTCTCTCAAGATCAATGAGTAAGATGCCCAATTACAGTTAAATACAGCTTTCGATATAACACTTATGAGCAGCCATACATGATTCGCCAAGTGGTCCAGTAATGTCTATTTTAGAGACATTCTGCGTAGTGGGTTCAATTCTCATTATCTCCGAAACACAATATATAAGCAGTGACTTGCCCAGTTCATAGAAAGACGGTGTCTTGTTAAATGCTCATGAAATTGTTGCAGTACCAGCGCACAAAGTAACAGAAAATAAATAGAACAGCATAACGACAACAGTTACACCAAACGAAGCTTATCATTCAGCGAAAAAAATTTCTGATAAATCTGGTTGTTTTACCAGATATGGGTTATCTTAATGACCTACAAATATATCAGATGAATCAAATGATGAGAATGGGTTTTGTGGAGATTTTCAGAAATTTCGCAGATTGAAATCATGAGTCAATTGAAGCTAGATCACTATAGAAACCCTGGAAGCACTGGTCCTGGGTTCGAATCCCTCAGGGTGCAGGATCATGGATGCGCATTGCTGAGGAGTCCCATACTACGACGAAACGGCTGTTCAGTGCTTCCAGGTTTTCCATGGTGGTCTAGCTTCAACTGACTCTTGATTTCAACCTGTGAAATTTCTAAAATCTCAACAAAACCCATTCTGATAATAATCATCTGCTCACTGGTAACTGACTTAAAGAGGCATTTCCTGGAGTTCTAGTGAGAAGTCATTACCAGTGGAGTTCAACTAGGTCTGTTGTGAAATATCAACTCACTGAAGACAATGGTGTACGGTGGCGCAACTTCGTGGATTGGTTGAAGTTAGACATTAACACCGTTGGATGCCGGCTCAGTGGTCTTGTGGTTAAGTGCTAGTGCGCGAAACCAGTAGGTCATGTGTTTGAATCCCGCAGGGTGCGGGATCGTGAATGCGCATTTCTGAGGAGTCCCATACTAGGACGTAACGGCCGTCCAGTATTTCCAGGTTTTCCATGATGGTCTAGCTTCGATTGACTCATGATTTCAACCTGTGAAATCAAATGATGGTCAAAAATCTAATGCAATTTTGATAGATGCTGATTATTCTAGCGATCTATTATCTACTACTAATGAGATATTCAAGAAATGTGATGTCTTTCATCTTTACTATCTAGTCACTTTAGTAGATTCTCTATTCAATGCAAGAAACATACTTTAAATAAAGTCATCACATTAATTGTAACTTGGGCATATGAGGATGTAATATTTCGTGAGGGCGGGGGGAATAATTTAAAGTTAGCAACTAAACTTTGAGTCTTCAAAAGATTAAAGAAGGGGGGGAATGATATAATGGGATGAATAGTTCAAATTACATTCTTTTATTCAATATTACTTCCGTTTACTAATTCAATATGTGGTGATTATTCAATGTAGTGTTTGTTTCTGTTTTCCTGTCTATAATGTTATTCTGTATAATAGACGATATTCTTGTATTTAATGGATATGAACTATACTTAGAATGATATATGGCATGTGATTTGTTATAACTATTGGCTATTTTATGTGTATGTGATTCTGATGTGAACAGGGAAACAAGAAGCCCTGACAACCTACGGAAGTTATTTTTCGGGACGTTATTTCATTTTATGCAAAGCTTATAAAACACTAACATTAATTTTTGTCCCTAATCTATTCTACAGAACATAAGCTTTCGTTCGATGTATGATTGATTGCTATACCCTTTTCTGTTCCGAAGCTATTGTCATTTAAACATAATATTTTGCACCCTATTTTCTACGTTAATTCCCAGCTTTGGACATAATTGTATTTTCCTAATTATGGTACGTTGTGGTCGGGTTAGTCACCTATATTTATTCATGTACCTTTTTACACTAATCCGAAATCAGGATATCAGGAATAGATCGAGTAATGTTCCAGTTGTCTTGCCTTCTTTCATTCGCGTGCTTGTCAGCCAATCAGGTGATAAAATAGTTTTCTTCTCTATATCCCACTTCGAACTCACGCGTACTAGCCTCAAGGTTAGGTCGGTCAGCCTATAGCGCCAAGGTCTTAATGTGGATTAGATAGGTATCCTCAGCACCAAAAATGGGTAGGCAAACCCAAAGGACATAACAGTTTCTATTCTAATTATTATTCAAAATGTGTGTACTAGAGACATCGTCGTCGTTGTTGTTGTGGTGTTTTGGGGCTAATAAACCTTTATTTGTACCAGTTTTATGTGTTCTTACTTCAGCGTCATTGGAAGTGGTTTCTCGTTTTACAAGTATAAGTAATCAGTGATTCCGACATAACAATTAATGACGACCAGATATAACAATGAATGTTCAATCATAAGATTTATCAACAGCTCTCATACAAATCGAATATTTTGTATGGTGCATCGTTGTACAAATGTCATTGACTTAGTTGGCGAGATTATAATTTATAGACGAACCAATCAAGTATAAGAAAACAGGTCTACGATTTGGGCGCGAAGTTCAGTTATCCATTTGACTAAATAGAGTTTTGGCATTATAGTTGTTGTCAATTTGTGATGAAAATCCCTGAAATCTAGTTGCCAACCTTATTCATCAACTGTTAACCATAATTCTAATCCCCACACCCTAGTCTTAGTTCTTAGATGGACACTCTTAAGGTCAGTTTCGGGTCGCTCAAAAGTTGTCCACAGTTTCATTGACTTAATGACAATTTCTGTAAATATGAATTAACAATACTTGTGAAATCATCTTTTGTGTATAAAAAGTTGGAGTATAAAATTTCAATAATCCCGCAAAACCTATGGTCAATAATTGATTAGATTTAAGTTACCATACCAATGAAATAAATATATGATCTTAACAATTGAATTCATGAGTAGATCTAAACTAAACTACCTGTTATGACGTGTGACTGCAGATTAGAGTCAAGCGTTTTATCAATTGCTTCAGTGACACGGAAAACACGTACAGATGTCCTAGAGTCTCGATTGGTCCCGCTTCCCTATCTAGCCCAGCCAGTTGAGTCCAGAACACAAGTCACAGCCTCTGCAATATGAATCATTATATTTCAAACATACTCTGTTTATATACCAATCAAACAGACCACATCGTACCATAAAATAGAAAACAACATTTTGTACAATATTCAACAAGTGAACAGATATCGACCAATAGGAAATGTCCATTTAAAGTCCAAGGCCACTATTAGACTTAACATGATAATTGTTGGATGGCCGTTTCGTCTCAGTATCAGACTTTTCAGTGATGGTCTAGTTTGGAGTGATTCATGACTTTAACTGTTAAAATACTAAAATATATGATCGTCTACAAGATCAAAATACATGTTCATTATACATTATACAATGTGTCAACGTTCAAGTACCAGATACGGTACATCAGTTTATATCAATGACTGATCTCACCAGAAAATCCATTATAAACAAGTGAGGACTATACATATCTCATTCTAATATGACATATCTCAATGCTAGATGTTCACAATTTCATGAAAGATTGAATCTAAGGTATTTAGAACAAGATGGGGAGGTATCTTTACAACATAATCATTCAGTACAAGTTCTATCGATTTATTATCAAGTCATTGTTACCATGGCATTAATTTCTTTGATAAACTGTTATTTTACTGCCTTTTACTCCATGAAATAATCGTTAATAGTTCGAAAAAGAAAAGAACTTTGTTTTTATCTCTCATGAAATACAGAGAAAAAAAGGTCACGTCAATTTGACCATGTCAGTAAAATAGAAGAAGAAGAAGAAGAGAGGTGAATAAAGCCAGTTAGTTTATTGATAAAATGAAATGGAATTCAAAGATGTCAGGATTAGTGATCTGATAACGAAGCATAAACTATAGAATAAGATCATGCAGATTGAGATTAGAGTGATATATATATATATACTTGTATCTTCCCATTGTTATTTAGAACTGTAGGTAGATTCAACTGACGAATCTCAAATAGGACGAAACGCATGGATTCCTAAATTCCACTGCTAATCACTATCTATCTTTGTTAATAAAAACTACATATAACATTTATATATTTACATTTTAGTAGAATATCAATTTAGTTTATCAGTTGAGATCATTTTAGTAAGTTACTAGGTTAAGTTCAATGAGGTTGATGATAACAACTTAAAAGTTATAGTGTATTACATATCTAAGATGATGATGATGATGGTACTATCTCTTTTATTACTATTTATCACTATCATAATTAGAAAATGTTTCATTTGTAAAAGAATTTACTCATCCATGATGATGATGATGATGATGATGATGATGATGATGCTTTGGATGATGATGATGATGATGCTTTGGATGATGATGATGATGATGATGATGCTTTGCATGATGATGATGATGATGCTTTGGATGATGATGATGATGATGATGTTGATTTGGATGATGATGATGATGATGATGATGATGATGATGCTTTGGATGATGATGATGATGATGCTTTGCATGATGATGATGATGATGCTTTGGATGATGATGATGATGATGATGATGCTTTGCATGATGATGATGATGATGCTTTGGATGATGATGATGATGATGATGATGCTTTGCATGATGATGATGATGATGATGATGATGTTGATTTGGATGATGATGATGATGATGATGATGATGATGCTTTGGATGATGATGATGATGCTTTGGATGATGATGATGATGATGCTTTGGATGATGATGATGATGATGATGATGATGATGCTTTGCATGATGATGATGATGATGCTTTGGATGATGATGATGATGATGATGATGCTTTGCATGATGATGATGATGATGCTTTGGATGATGATGATGATGATGTTGATTTGGATGATGATGATGATGATGATGATGATGATGGTACTATCTCTTTTATTACTATTTATCACTATCATAATTAGAAAATGTTTCATTTGTTAAAGAATTTACTCACCCATGATGATGATGATTTGGATGATGATGATGATTCGGATGATTATGATGCTTTGGATGATGATGATATTGATTTGGATGATGATGATGATGATGATGCTCAAGATGACGATGATGATGATACTTTGGATGATGATGCTTTAGATGATGATGATGCTTTGGATGATGATGATGATGCTCTAGATGACGATGATGATGATACTTTAGATGATGATGATGCTTTGGATGATGATGATGCTCTGGATGACGATGATGATGATACTTTGGATGATGATGATGAGTGTGAAATTATGAAATTACGAAAGACAAAAGTTTTCAGAAAGTTTAGGCTTGTATGACTATATGTAGCAAAAATAAATGAGTGACACTAAAGTGATCTTTTGAATGTGAACCTACTAATTAGGACTAAATGAACGTTTAGTATCAGAAGTGGTATTGTGGAGATTGTAGCAATTTCAATGGTTGAAATCATGAATCAATTGAAACTAAACCGACAACGGAAAACTTGGAAACACTGAACGGTCGTTCCATCTTGAGTTCGAATTTCGCGAGGCGAGATTGTGAATGAGCACCACTGAGGAGTTCCACAATAGGATGAAACGGCCGTCCAATGCTTCCAAGTTTTCCATGGTGGTCTAATTTCAATTGACTCATGATCTCAACCCCCTTCTGATAACAATCTGAAAACATTTATTAATAATATTTAAAAAAATTATACATTCTGTAATTTACGTTTTAAGGAACCGAAAGATGAAGAACACCAACAACCATCATAATCGAAGTACACGTATTTATAAAGAGTTTTCTACACAAGCTACTTAATATCCGTTGATAGGATATCATCAACAACAGCCTACTGTGAGAGAGAACAAACCAACTTTCACATGAAGAGGAAATTAGGAGAAGACATTGGAAATGGATAGAACACACATTGAGGAAATCATCAAACTATATCACTAGAGAAGCGCTAGATTGGAATCCTGAAAGAAAACGGAAAAAAAGAAGGATCAATAACAACCGGAAAGGACTGGAAAGAATTGCCTAGGACAGAGTTTGATGGAGAATGCTGGTGTTCGGCCTATGCTCCTCGACGAGGTATTACAAGCGTAAATAAGTAAGTAAGTAATTTACACTGCTTGTATAATAACTTACTCAATCATATCACATATTTTTTGATTGGTTAAATGGAATGGAAATTTTTCTTAAGGTCATTCACCAATCACTCAAATTTGTCCTAATTGTCAAACTTTATCAGCAACTGCTTTGAAGCTTATATGACCCTGTGTAATAGTCTAATTCATTAAAATACAGATTTATATGGTTAAGACAGCTATAGTATGTTTGTTCAGCTCTAAAATCAAATTATTTTTCAAGCAGTTTCTGACTAACATATAACAAGTTTCAGTTATTTAGATTAATATCATGAATGAATCAATGTTGGACCACCATTGACAACCTGAAAGCACTGGACGGTTGTTTCGTTCTATTGTGGGACTCTTCAGCAGTGCGCATCCACAATCCCACTTGCGGGATTCGAACCTAGGGCTTTTGGTCTTGCGTGCAAATGCTTAACTTTTAAACTTCAACTAATCCAAGAAATTGTGCGACCATCTCCTATTGTATTGAGGTAGATATCTTTCTCTACTCGACATGGTTAATGGGTAAATCTATGGTATGTTTATTTTTTCTTACAAAGATTTTAGTTAACCAGTCAATTAAACAGTGATCTTGAGTGGTGTTAGAGATATGAGGGCGGAACCGGTAGGTCCTGGGTTCGAATCTCGCAGGGGGCGAGGTCATGGGTGCGCACTGCTGAGAAGTCTCACAGTAGGACGAAATGGCCGTTTAGTGCTTTCAGGTTTTCCATGGTGATCTAGCTTCAACTGACTCATGATCTTAACCATTGAAATTAATAAAGATTAGTTAGCAATAAACTTGTCAGTCAGTTTAGCCGCCTAGATGATACTGTAGTGAACGAGAATACAAGTGAGGACAATAAAATATAAAATTACAAAATCTCTTAGTAAATAATTCATTTGCAAAATGTCAATCAATCATCTCAGACTTCATTGTTCCTTTATTTCTACACTGATCATTCACTGCTCTCGTTCTTTTTTCTTTGATCTTCTTAATCTTTTGGTGCCAGACACTTCACTGTCGATTCATGATACATACTACTTATATCCGTCGACATCAGTAGCACACACCACATTACAAATTATGGTGTCAAATGAGATTTTTTCTTGTTTAATTTTTTAATTATGTTAACACGTGATTTATGAATTAGATTAGTGAGAGTGTAGTCCTACTCACTGACTTCTCGCAGCATTACTATTGTTTACGAAATTGAAAGGATGAAAACGAATATCTGTCGTTTAAAATGGGTTGATAATGGATATAAATGATTCACTTAGGGGAGTTGGAATACCCTGATTAGAAACCAATGGTGCGAATGGGCTCCAGGATCGTGAAACAAAAAAAAATGGTGTATCAATCAATTGTTGACCACCGGCTTCTATAAGACTGCATCTACTTACGTTGCTTCACTTGCTTGTGGATTAGACCTTTTGTTCGAAAGATCCGAGTATGCCAGCCTAGTAAAACTACCTGCTTTAATTTGGGCACCCAGTCAGTATCACAGCCCTCACACAAATCAAGTAACTTTTGCCGGGCGCATATGTATTCGGTACCACTTTGAATCAATATTTATATGTTCAAATATATAAATAACATTCATCAAAATCAAATACTATAGAAGATATTCAGCATATATACTATTAGTCAGCATCGTGCATGCATGAAAGGCCTCCACTTTTTTGAATGATCAAGCATATGACTACTATCGATGATAACTGTTTTCTTTTCAACGACTATCATTGTTGTCCAATTACAAGATTGGAAGTTATCCTTATGCTATTGATCATAATTGTCCCATTTATTATTATTATTATTATTATAGAATAGTGAGTCTCTATAGATTAACTAAGTAAATCTATATTTATGATGTAAGAAACAAAATAGTCGAATCAAAACAAGTGAAAACATTTTAAAAAAAATAAACAATAACTAACTATATAGCAACATATTACTTACAATGACCTTGAGAAAACAAATCAATATTACTAGGGTATGTTTACGAGTAAAAGTACTATTATTATTATCAGAATGGGTTTTGTGAAGATTTTTAAAAATTTCACTGGTTGAAATCATAAGTCATTTGAAGCTAGACTGACTTCAGGAGATACTCCTGAAGTTCTAGTGAGAAGTCGTTACCAGTGAAGTTCAACGAGGTCTGTTATGAGATAGGAACTCACTGAAGACAATGGTGTACGGTGGCGCAACTTCGTGGATTGGTTGAAGTTAGATATTAACACCGTTGGATGCCAGCCGGCTCAGTGGTCTGATGGTTAAGTGCTGGCGCGCGAAACCAGTAGGTCATGGGTTTGAATCCCGCAGGGTGTGGGATCGTGGATGCGCACTGCTAAGGAGTCCCGTACCAGGATGAAACGACCGTCCAGTGCTTCCAGGTTTTCTATGGTGGTCTAACTTCAATCGACTCATGATTTCAACCATTGAAAAGTACTATTTATCTTTTGAATACACAAGAACAGCTTAAATGTTAACCATTCGCCTTAAAAAACGAATTACTTATACTAATACTACTGTGATGTGTGCTACTTATATTGACGTAAGTAGTAGTGAAGGTCTGAGAGGAGAGAGACAAGAGGATCGAACAGTAAAGAATGGAAACAGAATGCAATTTGTATGAAAATGGAAGAACAATGAAGTCTGAGTCATTATGAGACAACTGATGGAAATTTTTGCAAATGAAGTATTTATTGTATAATTCTCAGATTTTACTGAGATTCTGTAATTTTATGTTGAAATATATTCGATTGTCCACATTGGTGTCCTCGTTCATTATACTTCCAAGACTATACACACAGCCAGTATCGCAACTACTCACATTACTACTAACAATACTACGATCACTCACACTACTGCTGTAGTATATACTACTTATGCTGACGGATATAAGTAATACGTAGCTGCAGTCGGAAGTGGAATACCTGTCAGCAGAATATTGAATTGAAGAGAACAGAAAGAGGAATAGAGAGCAATTGTAATAACAACACGACTATAAGAATCATAAAGCATATACAGGACAATTGAAGGAAGATGTTCAATTATTGTATTTCACGTATGATTTTCATATTTTACTAAGGTACTCTGTGATTTTGACTTAACAACAAATTGGTTTGTCATACTACAACGAATACAAAGATTGTTTTCTTGCTTAACCTCACTCATAATGAGCATGTTAATGAAATGTTAACAGTATAAAACTGACAATGAGACTATCATGTATAGACGACTTTTGAGCGATGCCAAAGTGAATTTGAGAGAGTCTACCTACTTACTAGGGCTAAATGAGGTTTGTAAAGCAGTTTGAAGAATAAGAATTATGATTCACGTTTGATAGTTAGAGTAAGGAATTAGATTTAGGAGGTTTTCATCACGAACCGACATCATCTGAAACGCTGTTTGGCCAAATAGATGAGTGAATTTCGGGCCAAAATCCAACACCCATTATCTTTAATCTGATTAGTTCGTGCATAAATTATAGTCTCACTTATTAATCTACACTGATTTGTATATTGATCATTGTTTCTTTGTATCTCTTTATATATAGTTGTGTCTTTTAGCTACAACATGCACATGTAAATTGATAAACACAGTGGGATATGATGTTACTGTTTATATGATAAGTGGAATTGTTTTACTAAAGCATGAATTTTGTTGTTATTTGTGTTTTTCATGACGTTCTACCAAGAAGCCGTAATCAGTAGGGTTCAATCTGTATCAGGCAGAGACAGGTATCTATCTCAGACAATGGATAAATGGTTGTGCAAGATCATGGGTCAATGAAAGTTAGACATTAAACTATAGAATGTCAGCTCAGTGGTCTACAGGTTGAACGTTTGCACATGAGACCGAAGATCTTGGTTTCGAGTCCCTTTATACAGGATATCGGATGGGCATTTCTGATATGTCTCATACAAGGACAAAACAGCCGTTCAGTAGTTTCAGGTTCTCAATAGTGATCTAGCTTAAAACGCTAGATATTCACTATTCATCCTCTCAATATCGTAAACAACAGAAATACCTCTAGAAGGCAGTTATTAGAACTTCCCTGATAGTAGTTGTATGCACATGTCCATATGAGAGTATTTGAAGAGGGAGAGATGACTCTCCTCAATCTCGGCCATACCAGGTCATTTAAGGGTATGTTAATAAGTAGTTTATTAAAATGTTATTGTCATTTGAACATTACCAT